CCAAGGCCACAGGTGCCCACAAGACAGTCCCTCAGGACAGAGGGACTCCAGAAAACAAACCATTTTCAGTGGAAGTGTAAAAGGCGTAAAGGAAAATGGACGCTTTCTGGCACGTAAAACACCCTGGGCCAGATCCCACATTTTTACATCTGCCAGGTTCTACTTTCCAGCCCTTACATCAGTATTTCTGCTGGCTTGGAGGTCCCCTGGGGTGGGAGACGCCCCGGTTGCCGCAAGGCAGGGTCATTTTCTGTATAAGGGGTGTGACTGGGGAGAGACAGACCAGCTTCTTGGGGAGCACAGAAGGTGACACAGTTTGGACCAGCACTGGAAACTGGATCTGCCCAGCATGAGCCTTAGAGATATTTTGCTACTTCTCCATCTGTGAGCTAGATCCACCATCAAATGGCTGTTTCTCCTGTTGCTTTGTGCTGAAGCTTAAGTGTTTGCTCAGCTATGGAAAGTTGACTGAGCATGTTTCAAAGGTGATTAATACTCCCATTCTTTTTTGCTTATCTTTGGCAGCTGTTAATTTCAATTTTCTTAGCACAAGCATGAGAAATAGGAGCTATGCATTTGCTTTTGCTGAAAAGTAGAAAGCTTTAGCCTTTTTCTTCCTGAAGCAATACCTGCATTCTTAACATGTGCAACAGTACCCCCAGTACAGACACTTACTGTTTCATTTAAAAGAGCAAAAAGAAAACCCATGGCATCCTTCCATGGGTTCACATGGAAGGCCTAGTTTGACCCTTGGCTACTGATGTTCCCCAAAACTCAAGGGTGCAGTCTGGTGCAGGGAGGTGCTGGGTGAGCAGTTTGCAAGGAGTCTGCGGAAGCTGCAGAGACTCAGCTGTCTCCAACTTCTGCTTACCAAGGGGAAAAATAATGCGGTGGGAAACACTACCAAGCCAGAGTCCCTACCCACCTCCACATAAAGCGAGTAAACATAAAATGCTTAGTAAAGAGGACTCAAGCTATGCAAGAAGACTCCAGCTGAACTGTTCCCAATGCTTTTCCTCTACTTGTTCCGTTTAGCTAAAAATGAATGTCGCCACCAAGCAAAAGAAGGATGCCACCACTTCTGCTACCCGGGAAGTAATTCCTACCGCTGTTCCTGTGCTGATGGCTATGAGCTCGGGAAGGACAAAAAACAGTGCATCGCATTAGGTAGGCATGAGCACGGAAGCATGGGGGGCACACGCTCAGAGCTGGGGTGGGCAGGCCACCACCTGATATCCAGATGTGATCAGCCTGCTTGGAGACTCCAGTGATGAGAATATTACTGACCTTCCAATCCGGGCACAAAAAGGGAAAAATCTAGGGACCACCACTCAAGATGACAGAGCAGGGGAAAAAGAAGTAATATTTGATCTGAACATTTAAACGTGGGTCTGCAGACAGGACTTGCGTCACCCTACGTATCACTCACTGGGGCTGGGTTTTCCACTCCTGTGCTTGGTGAAGAGTAACTCCACTGAAGACCTGTCTGTTTGGGAATGAGGTTCAATTGATTCTCATCAGGCACCTGATGGTCTGATAAAGGAAGGGCAACATTTGCTGCCATGTTAATTAGTTTTAAGCAGTAGTCCTCTTCATTTTTTCCATCTCCCCCCCTTATAAACTAGGTCTACTAAAACCACAGTAGTATACTTAGGCCCTTGTCTACATTAGCAAGGAGGACAGCCAAATAGGAGTTGTAGAGCTACACTTTTGGTGATGAAGGCTTGATGTCCATGCTCAGCGCACATTTCAAGTGGGCTTTACTTCAGAGTAGCTCTAGTTTGGTCCCGTGGGCTAAGCACCCATTAGCTACGAGAGTACGTTAAGTGCGCTCCTGGAGGGTGTCCTCTGGTTTAGCGTCACCTGAACAGAACCCAGTTTGCGTGACCCAAGACCATGCCACAGGGTGAAGAGAAAGTGTGATAAATGCAGGTAACTGGGGGATGCACTTGAAAAGCACGCTTGCTGTCTGAACCAGAACACAAAGTGATGGCTCTAACAAGGAAAACCCAGGATTACCTTGTCCTGATCGGGCCACAGCTATCAGGTATTTGGCGCAATTCAGATACGGGATACAAAGATGAGGAAGCAAGCTGTGGTGACGGTTGGCTGGAGAGGAAGCCTCGTTTCCTTACAGACACAATGAAATCTGGTCACCACAAGCCTGATGGAATGACCCCAAAATGTTCAGCGCCATCACTAAGCTATTAGACTACACATGCCAAGCGAATTATTCCAATTCTCACCAGCTGAGATATTGTCCTTTTCCTCAGTGCAAAAAACAAACTCCAAAGCCAAGCTAGAAGCAATAAAGTATTTGCAGATATTAGTTGTCTTGAAATGACACAGAATGAAGTTCTCATCTTTTTTTAATTTCATTTGCTAGATCAATGTGCCTGTGGGAGACTTCAAGACAGTGATAATCTGATAAGTGAAACCAGGAAGAAACGTGACAAACGATTTCCTTGGCAGGTATTTCTAGCAAGTCACAAAACCTATCCCTCAACCTTACACGGACAGTGCTATCTCTCATTTTTTTGCATTTTCTTAGGTCCTGCTGCTAAACTCAGAAGGAAAGGGCTTCTGTGGAGGAGTGCTGCTGAAAAGTAATTTTGTATTGACTACAGCAGAGTGCGCCCTTCTGCACAGCAATTTTGAAATCAGGGTTGGTGCGGGTAGGTGCTCAAACACGTTTTCTTTTGTTGTAGCACGTTTTAGTATTGACAAGCTAATTTTAAAAAAGCTTAGTAAAATTTCTGCTGTATAAAAATATTGTTAAAGGAAACAAATCTGCTGTCATCTCAGTTAAGCATCTCAGTTAAGTATCTTGAGCTAGAACTATGGCTGTCCCACACCCCTCTACAAGGCAAGCAGAGAGACAACTACCTCTCAAATGCAATTCACAACTCTGCACCTAGGGATGAGCTAAACCAGCTGGATTTAGATGTGGCTTCCTCCCCCCGTCCCCCAAGGAAAAAATTGTTTCATGCCAAAATTTACTTCTCTTGTTGGGTATTTGTCCTTCCCTCTGAAATTATGCATGCTTCTACACAGCATTAAAAAGCTGTCAAGATAATCATTCTTAGTTTACCTTTACTGCAGCTGTTTCAAGAAAGAGCGCCTTTAGTTTCTCTACTGCACGCATTTCTCGGCATGACTAGGCAGCTCTTGTCAGTTTGCATGCAGTTCTCAGGTCTCTGATAAATTATTCCTAAGAGCAGTGAAATGTCATTGCTTCACAGGGCATAATGGAACAAGTGCAACTGAGAAGATAATGCAAGTTAATGAGAAGCACATACACATCCGGTATGAAGAAGACACTGGTGAGAACAACATTGCATTACTACAACTCCAAGAGCACGTTGAGTGCAACAACCATCAGCTTCCTGTATGCATCCCTGAAAGAGACTTTGCAGAACACATTTTAATTCCAAAATTGGCTGGTACAGTCAGCGGCTGGAGAATGGAAGGTGACGAACTTCAAGGAGATGAGCTGCAGGTTTCATACCTTCCTGC